TATATGCTGGGCCCAGGGACTGGCACTATTAGATGATGTGGCCCTGTTGGAGTAGGTGTGGCCTTGTTGGAGTAGGTGTGTAACTGTGGGTGTGGGCTTTAATACCGTACTCGTAGCTGCCTGGAAGTGAATATTCTGCTAGCAGCCTTCAGATGAAGATGTAGACCTCTCAGCTCCTCCTGCACTATGCCTGCCTGGATGCTGTCATGGGCCCACGTTGATGATAATGGACTGAACCTCTGAACCTGTAAGCCAGCCCCAGTTAAATGTTGTCCTTATAATAGTTGCCTTGGTCATGCTGTCTTTTCACAGCAATAAAACCCAACTAAAACATCTAGCAATAAAGTACAGAAGAGTAACTCAGAGCCCCTCTTCTTTGTGCTGCTTCCTCCTGTAGGGCTCTGACCTGTGAGACACACTGAGATGGGTTTTTGAGGGAGGGATATTGGTAGCCTAATAGAAGAGGAGCTGAAAATAAGGAGGGGATCCATACAACCCCCTCCCAGCATGGTTGGAATGTGTCTTCCCAAGGTCTACCTGCTGAAAGCCTGATCTTTGGCCTGCAGCCCTCTGGGGAGATGATGGAACCATTAGGAGCTGGTGCCACAGAAGAATGCTAAGTTACCAGCTGCATGCCTTAGATGACATTTCTAAGGAGTTAGGACTTTCCTCTTCCTTTCCCTGTACTTCCTCTGCTGTCAACTTTTAAACACTGAGACCCAATGGGGTCAAGCAACACTTTCAATGATAAAACCATTATCTACAGCAATCCTCCCTCAGCTCCAGTTGACTGACTCTAGGTATTCAGTTACATTAGCAGCAATCTGACTACCACATCTGTGTAGTAGTGTTCAGCCCTGGACAGCAGGCAGGCAGAGGAGGCAGGGATGAGGACTGTCATCTTGGATAAAAGGTTCTCTGGAGAACAAACTGATAGGGGACAGGGGATCCTGCTATAAAGGGACACAACTTTCCTGTCTACAGAACGGTTTGTAAGTTATAGAGCCCGTTATGAGCTTAAAGTGCTTTTGACCAGATCTATTTTAGCATATTTTATGCCTGTAGAGTTAGCCTAAAGACTGGCATAGTATAGATAGATAAAAACAAGTACTTAAGAGGCAAGAAACATGCTTGGTCAGGATACCTCCATGGCAGAAAAGTGGGTCCAGGCATACTACTATTTTAAAGATTTATTTTTTACATGTATGTCCTTCTGTCTGTGTGTGATACATGAGGGTGCCTATAAAGACCAGAAGAGGGCACTGAATCATGTGCAACAGGAGATACAGGTGGTTGTGAGCCAGCCAACCATGCTAGGAATTGAATGCATGTTCTTTGGAAATGTAGCAAGTACTCTTAACTGCTGAAACACTGCTCTGGTATCTTAAAGATGTATGTGTGTGTTGGGGGTGTCATTAAAGGTACGGTTTATTAATCTAGAGACTCCCTGACAGAGCTGGTAAACTGAGCTGTCTGCAAGCTCAGTGTTCTCTTGGGAAAGATCCCATTGGGGACTCAGTTTCTCTCTAGGGGATACTTGGACTCTGCACCAGCTACAGTCCAAGACTGAATGTTCCCAGAGAGACAGAAGGAACCTACAGGGCTAGGCTTAGAAAAGTTCCAGAACAGGTTCACATTCTGCCTCTCAGCCAAATGCTACTGAAGGGCACTGAAATGCCAACACTGAGCATCTAAACACTTTAGACAACTAAAGTGTCTGCTGCCATCTTTCCCACAATGCCACTCGTTGGCAGCTCTAGAAAATGGTTGTATTAGGCTCCTGCAGCTGGTGTGACAGGTACTACAAAATAGGCAAATGGCAGATATACACACACAGTTCTGGAAGCCGATTCTAGACTCTATAACTATGATGCATTCAGCAACAGCAGGGCCGTAGTCCCTTCAGGGACTCTAGGAGATGTGTTCTATTTCTGTTCCAGCTTCTGGTGTCAGCTAACCTTCAAATCTCAGCTCTATCTTCACAGTTCTTGTGCAGTGCAGTTCCCCACCTCCATCCTGTACATGATGTGCAATGAGGACCACTGAGAAGCCAGTACAACTTCCTACTTCAAAGTCCTTACTTTCATCACTCCTGCAAAGACTTTTTTTTTTTCAAGAATAAAGTAATATATAGGTGGCAGGTTTGGACCCTGTTTCTATTGGTGGCCATCACCCTGCATGTTATGATGAAAACCACAGGTGTGAATTCTTGGCTCACTGAAGACATCCCACTTGTGTTATGAATCAGAAAGGCTTCATGACCAGACCTTTAAAGAGCAAGCTGCCTTATATGACAGCTAGGATTTGGAAGCTCTTGACACTGATGGAAAACTTCCCACTTCTGCCCAATTTTATCCAGTTTATCTGTCCCAACTTTTCTTTATGATTTTTTAAATAACAGCTCTATTAGTATATAGCTTACACTATCTTTTTATCTTGGACAAAAACATCCAAAAACATCTATTTAATGGGTCCACACTTCAATGGGAAACTTAAAGACTTAAACATTTTTCTCAAGATATTTTAAAAGCTCAGAGATGGGGACAGATATAAAGAATTAGGGAATACTGGTGGTGCTCAGTAGATGTACCATGCTCTCTCCCTCAAACAACAACTGTAGGCTCTTCTTTCTTTCAGCGTTCAGAAGTGAGAAATCTGTTGCTGGGCAATTGTATGTTTGCCTTAACATCACACAGTGAACTATGCTGGAACACCATTAGATGACATAATCTCCTATGACAGCCATGTATGTGAGCTACCACTGCCTAAATGTCATCATGTGGTTTGAGGCTTCACACCATGCCCTGTCAGACAGCTCTTTGAGGGTCGGCTTAAACTATATTTTCTATGGAATACAAATTTTAAAACATACATACAATATATTTTATTTTATGTATTTCTATAATACATAGACTCATAGGGTAGATGGTAGAAATAAAATTTTGATTTTATAAACTTAGATTGCACACACAAATGCACCATAACACACATGTAGAGGTCAGAGACCAGTGATCAGACTCATGTCATCAGGCTTGGCAGAAATGCCTATATACACTGAATCTCACACCGGCCCTAACTTTAGATCAGAATGGAACACATATTGAACAGTTCATCCCCAGTGTTCTGAAGCAATAGGACTTCACCAGAGGTATCATCAGCTTAAAATGCCACTGTTCAAGCTTCTGCCACACCTGTACACTGTAGGAAAACAGTAGAGTTGAAAGAGCCCAGTGGCTCAGAGGTATTCTCTTATGGCTCAGTCAGCACCAGCATCTACCTATGAGAGCTTCTTGGCAGCTTGGCAAGGTCATGTGGGAACCAGACTGGTGCTTGGAAAGGGGTTTAAAAGCATTGCCCAATGTGCTCATCGGGTTCTGTCTCTCGTACATTCTAGTTTTGCTACTCCTTTATTTTTGATAAAGTTACAATTTTTCTCTTCCACATCTGAATACCTCAGAGTTTCTATTTTCCCCCTCCCTGCTTGATAGTGAACAACACACAAACACACCATATACGTAAATGACCCCATGCACATCACGAATGATCTCTGTGGAGTAAGGTCACAAGCAGTGACAGCAACCTACTGAAGACAACTACCCCCTCCTCCCACACACTCACACAGCACAGGACACAGGCTTAGGCCTCCTCTGCAAATTTAGTCCAAACCCTTTTGGCATTTGCCTTTGCCACACATCCTGGTGCTTCCTGGGGGAGGAGGAGGTCAGGCTGCTTTAGTTCCTATCATCCCGGTTTCTGATACCCTGACTCTGTGCGCCATGTTCCCACCCTGAAGGAGATGTTGTAGAATGTGATTGTATGTAAGTATTGAATTCCTAATCACAGGCTACTCATTGACTTGCTTGATAAACCATAGGAATCCACTTCTGCAGCAGGTGTACTGACACTCTCAGGGAGCTGCACTCTCATCAGACCATAGACTCTGAGGCCACTGACTGGCTGCTTTCCGTGACTCACTGGAGTGAGTTATGTAACCTGCTTATGCCTCTGTTGCTTACTGAGGCAATCATGTTGTGTAATTAAACATTATGTAAACTGATTTAATGGGACTGTGGAGTGGCTGCTCCTCCGCACACTCACACACTAAGCTGGGTACATCTGAACTGCATTCAAGTAGGCAGACCCTGGGGGAAAAAGGTAGAAAACCTGTACGCTTGATACGCTCTTAGGTTCAGGGTTTCTTTCCAGCCTCACAGAGAAAGTTATTCATCAGTGGTGCTGTGTATGGGAACTTAAGATGGCAGATGAGCAGGTCTACAATTAAAGCAAAGCCAAAAATGTGTGGCAGGAATGGCCACATATTCATACATGTTGGGCTTTTGGAAACTCTACAGTACTGAGATTTGTCTTCACATATGCAAAGCATGAGCTGTGTAACTAGGCCATACTCCCAGCTACACATGGGTGAATTCTAAGTTAAGACAAATCGATTATGGGCTGAGGGTGTGGCCCAGCTGCCAGAGGGTTTATCTAGCATGCATGAAGCCCTGAGTTCAATCCCCAGCACTGCCTAAAACCAGGTATATGGATCTACACCTAGAATACCTGTATTTGGGAGATGGAGACAGGAGGATTATACATTTAATATCATCCCTGCTTATACAGACCATGCATGGTTAGCCTGAGCTAATTTAAGACTATGTCTCAAAAAAAAAAATAAGGTTTATTATGATATATATATTTTTTAAATTCCCTTCATTGACCAACATTTCTTTATTTGCTGAGAATTAATCATACTGATGGCAATCAGGTCAGCTAAGAAGGCTGTACTTACCTCTGGACCAAAAGGGAAGCAGGCCAAAGAAACCTGTCCCAAACAGCACACACAGATGGAAGCATCCAGCATGAGTTCCCAGTTGAATTGCTATAAGCCACCTCAAGTGTCATAGTAAGTACTGCCTTTCTGTGAATCCTGGTTTTCCTAAGTACACCCTGCCCCAAACCAGTTTTCCCAATGCTGAAGAAGGGGCACTAGATCATACCCATCCTTCTTGTAAAACTCCAGCATCATGTTGTCTGTGGCGACACTGAGGGGCCGGCGGGCCTGCTCTGGCTGGCGTCGGTCAGCAGGGTCCATGTCTGGGGAGGGCATTGAACTGTAGTTGGCATTGTGGTTCACGTGGACCGGACTCCCATAACTGCCTGTGATGTTGAACTCTATTTCTGCAGGGAGAAAAAAAAAATCAGTGGATTTGATCTCTTTTGAGGTCACACCCTTCCGGGACAAGAGAGCCACTCATGTGCTGCCTCTAGAAAAAGTCACCTCATGGTCTATACCAGCTAATCTATTGACTGATATTAACTCACCATACTGACCAGTCAACAAAGAGACTTATGTGACTGGCAGATTGGTCTTTAAGAGAAGGAGATAACCAGGTCAGCTTTGACTGCTGGGATCCCGGCCTTAGTAACATTTTGTCTTCACACAGGTTAGTGGTGATTGACAGCTAAAAGTTCACTCTCAACACTTACTACACATGACAGACAGGAGCAACGTGTTGTTGCTTTAACAACTATGACTACAACTGTTGTCTCCATAAAATGATCACCACAGAGAAACACTCATGCAATGATGCTCACAACATCTTGTAGATTCCCTTGAAGGAAGCTGCCTCAGGTGCCTAATTATGAACCAGGCACAAAAAAGCAAGTCACTGCTTTGGACCCCTGCTTTTATGCACTGAGAGGCAGCTCAAAGAACACCATTTAAGTCAGTAAAGAGGTAGCGTCCAGGTGATGGCTTGGATCTGAACTGAAGTACTCTGCACCCCCTCCCCACCTTCCACTGTACCATCAGGTCCAGCCACCCTCTGCATTTGGAAAGTGAGGAGTTTGGAGCTAAGCAGAACTCGATTTTGGGCCAGTTTCCACATTTTGTAGGTGTGAATAAACCACAGTGTAGCTGTTAGGTCAGGAGAATCTATGGACCTACTTAGTACAAAGCACAGACACCTAGATGACAGAAAGTCTCCTGGGTGGGGAGAGAGAAGAGTGTAGCCCAGGCTCTACTTCAGTGCCTGCTCCATTATATGTAGGTGTGTGTGGGCGGAGTGTGAACAAAGCCATCCAAAGCCTGGGTGCACACCTCTGGCTTCCTAGGCTTCAAGCTCACAGTGCGCTTCCTGTCCCCACTTCTGCCCCTCTGTCCCCAGATGTGGGTGCTGACACATACCCCCAGGGAAGAACCAATCTGCGTGCTGGATAATGGGCTCGATGATGCCAACAATCTGCAGGGAAACTGTGGTCATCATCTCGGTGATGTTCCTGGAAACAGAGCAAAGCAGTGGGGTTAGCAGCTGAGGCAGGGGGACCGCTTCACAGTCCTCTGGGCACTGGAATTCTGCAGGCCCAGGTCTTCAACTGCTTTCCGGAAGCTTTGAGAACAGCATCACTCCCAGTGACCACACAATACCCATAAGTGTTTTTTCAGCACAGGGTAGCTTGTCTGCTTTGCAACTCTGCTGCCTCTTGCAGACAGGCCTCCACCCTTTCAAGTCTAGATGCCTGGACTTCTTGTGAACTGCTCTCCTGTCCCTTGCCCTCCTCTGTCATGCTCCATAGTACTTAGGTTAGTCACAGAAGACCACACTCAGACCCATAGCCCTGAGCCTGTCAGTTAGGAAGATCTATAGAATTCTGTTCCTCCTCCTGGCCCCAAGAGAAAAGAACAGGCTATGTTTTGATTTAATCAGGAATCTGTGGATGCAAACACTGAAGGTCCTTGTGCCCAATTGGTTTTTGATTGATCAATAAAGATGTCAGTGGCCAATGTCTGGGCAAAAGAAGATGGGGTACGACCTTTATATTTACACCAGCTAGGAACTGGGAAAAAGGAGCCAGAGAATTGTCATGATTTGGGGAGAACAAGGGGACATAGAAGCTACAGGACAGAAAGCCAACCAGACATGTGGGAATTCAGGTGGGTGGCCACTGGCCACTTCTCCGATTGGGTCTGGGGTGGGCGGGAGAGGTTTAAGAGTGCCCAGCCTTTAAGTAGCCAAGGCATTATAAAATTAACTGGCGTGTGTATGTGTGTGTGTGTGTGTTCCATTTGCAAATCCAGATAGTTCCTGGGCAAGTGTGAGCATTCAACCCACAGGGAAGTAAAGCAGTGTAGCCCAAACTCATTGCTACAGAGATGACCCAAGGCCCAGGCCTCCTGTTCTATAGCCCATGCCTGGCGGGTACCCTAAGGTGCCTCTCCTTCCTGTACTCACCCTTCTGACTGTGGCCAAAGGAGGTTGGGTCCCAGGACGATTGCCATGTTACTGGGAGTCATCTTGTTTACATCCTGATATTCAGACAGTTTCGATAAAAATTTGATCAAGTATCTGAAAGGCAATGAGAAGAGTGAGGTTTAACTGGGGCTCAACACCAGCCATTGTCTTGCAGGACCAAATAGAAACTTCTCTCCTGTAGCGTGTTCTTGACAAGGAGACTCACAGATCCAGCAACATATGAAGAAATACCCCACATCATGAAATGGGAATTCTGGATTCTCTTTCCCGGAAGCAGACAGACCCAGAACTCACCCACATAGATGTTTAAATCTACTCCAGTGAACAACCAGTAAAAAACCATTTGTCCTTGTGCCTTAGGTATAGGATGCTCGAGGTGTGTCTCTCACCGTAACCTGTTACCTCTCATCCTCACTGTATAACCAAGGTGTCTGTGGATACCCACAGACCAAGGTCTTATTAAGCCTCACTCAGGCTTCTTGGAAAGATCCAAAGAAGACCCAGCAGTTCCATTGGTAGAAATACACCCAAGAGAAATAAGTCCACACACAAGCTGCTAAAAGGACACCCAGAGAGGCATTATTTGTGCTATTATTAGAGCTGAGGCCACTCAAATGCCCTTGAAGGAGTGAATGAGTGTATGTAGAATGTTACTAAGGCATAAAAAAGGATGGAGATTTGACCCTTTCTGTCATGTGGGTGAGCCCTGGAAATACGGCAATCAAAAAGAGACAGAAAAGGCTATACAGTGCAGTTCTACATTATGTGAAATATTCAGAACAGGTAAGTACACCATTGCAAGAGGCTGGATTAGCGACTGCCGAACTGAGCTGGGGGTGCCAAGGGAACTAGGTTTCTTTGTGCAGTGATAAAAACATCCCCAAACCGGACATTATTAACAGGTGCACAGCTTTGCAAATGTAGACTCAATCCCAAATGTCACCTTTAGAAAGACACAGTGGTGTGTGAATTATGACTCGATCACATTAGCTTTGAAAAATGAGAATGAAGGAACTGTGCACAAGGTAAACATCTAAGAACAGCTTGGGCATGCCACACTGAGAATATGCTTGCCCTCCCTAGAGGCTCCAGGGCTGTGCTTTCTTCTGGACTCCTAGCTACAAAAGGTTGTCATCTTCCCTTGGGTCACAACAAAGGAAGTTCTTTGGAGGGTTTTAACTCCTCTTCTCTCAGCCCAGCAGAGAATGCACCGGCCTTAGGGGTTGAGTCCAGCCGAGTAGTAGCTATTGTATTCCTGTACCAGCTCCACCCACAGCTTCTCCTGACATTCTAGAACTAGACTAGGATGTGGGATCTCTGGGAACAGTTGGCCTGGATGCTTGCCAGTGGCTGAGGGTTGTGATCACCAACATGTAGTGCACTGTACACATTTGACTTGTATCTGGATACTTTTAAGTGCAGATTTCAATAACATATGCCTGTAGTTTAACCTTGTTCATTTGTAGGTATACACTGATGTATGATGAGGTACATCCACATTGTCAGGCAACAATCACAACCATCTACCTACCCCTAGGACCACTTGACCTTCTCAAATCGAGACTGTACACATTAAATAATAGCCCCTGCACTGTCCATCGCCTAGCCCTGACAACCAACCACCTTCAGTACTTATGACTCCAGCCACTCTCAGAACCTCATATACATGGCACCAAACCTTTCTGTCCATGTCACTGTAAGAACCATAGTTCCACCGTACATGCACAACACACTGGATTTATCCATTTATCTGCCTGGAGACACTCAGGTTATTTTCACTCTGGCTACCATGAATCTCGCTGCTATGAATGGAGGTACATACATATCCAGTCTCTGCTTTCGATTCTTTTTTGCATATGCTCCGAAGTGGAGCTGCCACATCCTATGGTAATTCAGGGCTTAGTGCTTAAGGAACAGCCATACCACCGCTCTAGGGATTTTTAACAGGGGAATAAAAATTATCAGGTAGATAGAAGCAGAAGTTGAAACTGAAACAGGGAATCTTAAAAAAGAGGGAAGAGAGGAAGCAAACGAGAGAAACAGGGCAGGGTGAGGAGCATAAGCCAAGGGTGAGGGCCTGCAACAGAGAGGCAGCAAGAAGCTAAGTGGCTCCCAGAAAAGACAGACTCATGCTTGGAATTCTCTCCCTCACTGCCCTTCCTGTGATTAGCTTACGGTGACATTTGTCTCCTTCAGCTCTAGAATAGGTCGGCCATTCCAACGAGCCCACCAATCTCAAATACTGTAGATGTCTGCATTACTCCTTGTTCTTTCACAAACTGAGAAACTTTCACAGAATTAGCCAAAGGCTGTTGGGTAGCCCCTGGTAATACTGGCTTTTGTCTCTTAGCAGCAAAATCTATCAATGTGGCCCTGCCTATCTTATCTCATAGGCTGTTTGAAGCTTAAAATGGTCCATGCATGCATGCTAACAGTGCCATGGATCCCACAAGGTGCCCATGTATGCTACTTTCCATGACTTTTATCCAGGGAGCTGGGCAGCTGGGCTCCCGCAAGTCCCATCCACTTCCTCTTTTCCTTACTTACCGGATGTTGTTATGGTTAGCCTTGGGCAACTTCTCACAAGCATTCCAGAGAGCCTGAAGTCTCTTGTCTTGCTCCTGGATACTGGGAAATTGACAGGAAAAGCCATTGGTTGAACATCAGTTGACATATCACTGGTCACCAATCCCAGCCAGTCTTTAGCATAGACCCTGGCGGCCATCTCTGCTTAAGTTATTATACACGTAGCTATTATCTATCATCTCTCCTTCTGCTCTTCTTCGGTCCTGCCCTACACTACTTTAACAGAACGTCACCTGCATGGATCACAGGTCTCAGGTGAACAAACTGAACAGGCTAACAGTGAGATCCAGAGGCTAGACAGTTGTGGAGCCAGGGCTCTGGGGCTGTTGGGAGAACATAAGACACCAGAGCTGGAGGAGAGCGACCCAGTTGCATGTTGCAACCTACAGATCAGCTCAACAGACAGTCACTGCATATTTAACTCCTCCACATCCAACATAAACTACATGTTCAACAGATAACTTGAATATAAAGATAGAAATAAATCCCACTTTTCAAAACTTTTAACTTCAGCAAGTGGACAATTTCCACTAGCTGAAAGGTTTTCCATGACATATAACAATTAATTCTATAGGTTTACTAATAAATCTCTCAGAACTAAGTCATTATTTATGGACTAAGTTTTATAGAAATTTATATCCAGGCCTATATGGTAAGAAAAGTCTGATGTCAGAGAATCTTCACTCTAGAACAGCAGCGGGATGAGGTCCATACCTAAGGTGTGGCCATCTCCTTTATATGTCATTGCTGGATGTCCCTAGGGTCCTCCTACTGATATTGACCTTCAGAGAAAAGCTCCCTGTATGAGCATGAAGGAACAAAACATACATATTCATGTAATGTATGGCTAAAGTAGTCTTGACTGGGAAGTCATGAAGTTGCCCTTCCACTCCCTGGCCTGGTGGTAACTTTGTCCTCCAGGAGTAACACCCACCTCACAGAGCCTGTGTGAACACTCTAAACAAGAACATGACCCAAGTACCTGGCTGTGCTGCTGGTTCATGCATAGTCCTGTCCTGGGCAAGGCACTTTCTCTGGCAACAGGCCAGCCCCATATACTCTTCCGGTCCTCAACTTTTCTTAAGGAACAGTCTGTGGGAAGCTTTTCTGCTAACATCTAGCACTGGGCCCAGCAGAACAGACTGAGCTGTAATAGGGCCACCGTGCTAAAAAGCCATGAAAGCAAAGTGATCTATGAAAACTGAGGCTAGTTTCCTAAAACAGTTGTCTCCCAGGAACCAGTCCTAGGAAGCCAGTGTTGCTGAGCCGGTAGGATCACTCACTCCGCTGGGTGAGCCCCTTAAGAAGTCCCTTTAAAACCATTACTTTTTGTTGTTTCTGTCTCTTCAGGGTTCTCTGCTGTAGAGCTAGCTAGCTAACCCACTGGAAGAACTCGTTCCACTTTATGGAATCAAGTGCTGCCCAGTTAGAAAGTAGGAAATGAAAGCCGTTGGATTTTTTTAAAAAACTGAATTTGTCTTTTGACAAAGGGCAGATGATACTTGACCTTTCAAGAAATTCAAGTCAACAGACATATATTAAAATGAGTCCCCCTGTGCCTGGAACCACCCTATGGGCTGGGAAGAAGCCCTCAGAAGAGTTCCTAGGCTATCAGCTATATCAACAAGCTTAGACATCCATACTCTCCCAAGTGCAGAAGCAACAGGGAAGAGGGAGGAAGGCTGCCAGGGAAGGCTTCTCTGAGGAGCTGACATTTAAGGTGAGGAAGAATGTATCTATGAGGCAGAGGTCTCGGAGTCGGAGAACAGCCCATCGGAGGAATCAGCCAGTGCTCCCGTCCTGAGGATGGTCTCCTAGCCTCTAATCCCTGCTCCCACTTGTATCAGCCTCCTTCTCGGCATGCTCTCCCATGGAGGCACTTAGTTTACAAGGCTCCCCAGAATGCCTCCTCAGTCTCAGTCTGCACTGTCCTGATAAGCTCTCATTTTTGAGAGTACATTTTATACTTTCACTATTTCATACACATATATAATACAGGTAGTCACACCTGTCTCTAGACCTCATCCCATTCCTCTGGAACCTTCCAGCATGTTCCCTTCCTGTTGTCACTGCTTACCTTTCTAATTGGTTTGTAATCCACTGAGAATGCTGGCTATCTTGCTGGCTCAATCTTATAAGGTCTGCAGTGAATTTGGAGTCCAAGGCTATGTCCTATCCAGAAGCCTGTATTTCACAGTGACTCCTCCCTATCCTCCAGCTCTTATATCTTCTCTTTTTCTTCTTCTTTAATGTCCCCTGAGCTTTGTGGAACAGTTTTGATATCTTTTGACCAGTTGTGAGTCTGCATTAACTGTTGCCCACTGCAAAGAAAAGCCTCTCTGACACTAGTCCTGATCTGGGACTTGGGCTCTTTTCTTTCCTGTCCCACCTGTATCCTGGGTGTCCTAAGTCCCCTCAGATTTGTCTACATCCTGATGTGTCATCCTGGAGCATAACTGAATCCAGCTGAGAGCCACCCTGTGTGAAACCTAGCGTCTTCACAGGACCAAGGTTATCCTCTCAGCAGCTTGGGGATTATGGAGAAATAGAATCCCAAAAAGTTCAATCCAAATCTCTGAGAAGCAGGCTCAGATCCTGGTACCTTCTGAAAGTGTAACTAAGAGACTTTGATGCTTACAGATAGTGGGGAACATCTCCACTGGGGAAAGCCCTTTCCTTACAGGATGAGACATTGCAAGGCAAGTTCATTCATACTCCATGAATCTTCAGCATTAGAAGTACTTATCCAGGGCCAGAAACAAGTCCTTGCATTTCCACAGTTCAGTGTCTGGGAGTCATTGGGACCATTCCTTTCTTCTGGTTGGACACCTACCTTTTCAAATGAACTGGGACCAGAGTGGCTCTCGGCACATTCAGTGCTACCCTTGGCTCTTCTCTCTTTCTCTAGTTTCTTACCAAGTGCTCTTGTCTATCCAGCTAAAGCACAGGGCAGTTTCCGTCAAAGGATATTTGCTCATTTCTCACTAGAATCTTTGTCTTGTTCCACAATGGCATAAAGTGCAGTGGCTGCATGCATGAGTCTAGGACTAGACTCACTGAATAATCAATCTCTCACACTCATGTGTTAGCTGGCAAGGAACTTGCTGTCTCACCTCTGCTCCACTTCAGCCTCCTCATTTTAATAACGAGGGAAACAGCTCAGTCCACTTTAGAGCTATGAAAGTTAGACGGTTTAAAGATGTTTAGCAGTTTAGAACAGTGGCAAGCCTCTAATAAGCATTCAACAGATGGTAGCATTTATTAGAAGCACCATGGAACCTGAGACCTTCCCTTCATAGGAGAACACACGGACTATATGTTCACCAAAGTATGACTCTGTTCTACTTTGGAAAACAAACACCACCAGGCAATTTGACATGAGGGAGCCTTCTCTGACTTGATACATTTAAGCATGCCTCCACCTTGAGGTGAGCTGGATCTCTTTGAGCTCAAGGAATGGAAGAGCCATGAGCAATGCCCATTTGAAGGGACAAGTGTGATAATGATAATCCTGGTTTGATCACTGCCCAATATACCCATATACTGATACATCATACCACATCCTAAGAACTTGTAGCTGATATGTCAACGAAAATGAATGATGATTCACTTGACAGTAATGAGAAGCTAGGCTGGATGCCTTGGGTGGCCAGATTCCATGACCAGACACTGGCTCCCAACCTGTTCTCAGAAAAGCATCTCCTACCTCTTCTCTTCTACCTGCATGATCCCTACTCTAGTGTCCACCATCCTGGCTCTGGTACCAATGCTCCTGCCTCATGTTGTCTACTTCCTCATTATGGTTGTTTGTATTTTCTTGAGATAGTTCTTAGTCTAGGGACAAAGAGAACATGCATCTTGATGAAGCCCACACAAGCAAGGGAAGAGACTGAGGAGTCACAAAGGCAAGTCCGCACTGAGGAGCCCCAGGCTGTGGCTTGCCTTGCCTTTGGGATGCACTGGCTGCCAGCCTCCTAATTCTGCTCCCTCATCCTGATCCTCAGAGGCATGGATCACATCCACTGCCCACATCGTATGCCTTAGTGTTATTAATCCATTGTTGCTAAAATAGCCCTGCGGCTGATATGGATAAAGACCCTGAAACTACTGTCTTGCTCTTTCTGCCAAAAGAAATCACCGTCCTTACTTAGTTGGGCCTTTCCAAAACCTTCTTTAATCCACATAGATAAGCTCACTCCTAAAATTCTATCTTATTGAGTGCTGGGTATTTAGCTTTCTTTAAAAAATATACCTGGAGGAAGGAAAGTGAAGGGGAAAATGATGTAATTACATTATAATCTTCAATATATATATTGCATGTGTCCTCCTTAAGTTGCTTGTTTCATTCAGCAGCAGACCTATCTTTCCTAGTAGCCAGAGTGGCTCTATCAACTTCTTACTTGCCTCAGAACATGAGGCAATGCCTCTGTTCCTTCCTCAAGAGCCATTAGTAACTTCCCAAACAGAGTTGCTGGCAACATTCTTGAGCATGCTTTTTTGGGAGCATGTGCCAACACTCCTTCACAACAGAAAGAAGAGGAGTTGCTTGATTCCAGCTCACAGGCTTTCACACTTCAATGAACCTATAGACAATGGAGTATATCCACTATTTACATGGCATTGGGAATTCTAAGTAACCTATGGATGGCTTAAAGTGCACATGAGGTTCTATGCAAACACTATGCTGGCTGCTTTGTATAAGGAACCTAAGTATCCAATGGTCCACAGATGGTCACGTGTAGGACTGTGAAAGGCAGCCTGATTTCTGGTTGAGCTAGGTTTGAAACCCAGTGATGCAGCAGGTGACCCCACAGGGTCCACTGCAAGGGATGGTAGGCATTTGCCACACTCCCAGACTCCAGGCTCCTGACATGAGGCCACAGCCCTCCATAGATTTGTATCCTTTAGTCATGTAGGGTAACACTCCTACTAGTTCCTCCACAGGTAGAGGGCATGACTAGAGGCCACTGAGCCTCAAGACAGATCTCCATATTAATGAGGTACCTAAAGGCCAGAGGGGCATAGCCAATTAAACATTCCTTCCCAGACCCTCCTCCCTGCAAAAGGTATTTAACCTCAGGCCCGCCCTGAGAAAACTGGGGTACAGTTTATCATCTACTTTCTGCCATGACAATAAACATCTTAAAACCATGGACTGTTTCTCTTTCATCGGGATCCACCTTTCAGAACAATGGAACAAGCGTTCACCTATAGAGCTACTGTCTAATCTCCCGCAGAAGACCTCTCTGTGTTCCCAGCCACGGTGACCACCAACCCAAGCAAGCCAAGCAAGCTGCTATGACCAAGTCAAGAACTCTCATCCCCAAAGGACAAAGCCTGAGTCTCCCTCCCTTTCTCCCCCTTCGGTGGCTGGCCAATCTAACCCATGGCCCCCACTTCATTCTCAGCCCTTCTGCAGCTTCTAGTGGTGCCTGGAGGCCCAAAAGCCTGAGAACCAGCTGATCCCTGTCCACCTCTTGGCCTGGGGAACCCCCAGCCAACTCTGATAGTCACCAGGGACCTCACACTGTACTCCCCCCGGAGCAGGGTCTTGAGGCTTCATATAGCCCGACGCCCGCCTGGTTCCAGCATGGAGTGAATACAGTCAAACTTCCCACGCCTGTCTCCCTGAGTGGCCCAACCACTCATCATCCCCACAATCCCAACCCACAGCACAATCCAACATGGGGTACTCACTTAGAAGCCTGGATCCATTCGTCATAGAGTTCAAAGGTCATAAGAGGCTCTGGCAACTCTCGGAGATAAGACTTCAAAGCTCCTGGACATAAATACAGTAAGCTGTTATAATACAACAGGACAAACTGCCATCAGCCTACACTGCTCCATTTGGACATGATTCTTTGGGCAATACACCATTAAATAGTGGTTTCCCATGTGAATAGTTGCTAGGCTTCAAGAGTACCTGGGATGAACATTACATAGCCCTGTTCCTTGTTTTTCACATCACCTTGTCGTTGGCTAGATGAACAGCTAAGGTAGTCTTTCTTTAATGATCAGAACAACCAGACCTGAACAAGGTGGACATCTGAAGCCACTGTTCCAGACACAGAGCCACACACTGCCCTTGCTATCCCTTCCCCGTTAACCCTGGCTCAGAGGTAGAGGGTACCTACCTGCTATGGCATGGGGGTCTGCCGAGTACTCCTGTACATCCACCACACAGCAGTCCAGAGCAGCCTTCAGCTTCTTCAGCTTGGAGGCTGAGGGGGCTACCCGGAAGAGGCCCTGTCAAAGGATGGAGGGGTGAGAGGGTGGCCAGAGGAACAAGAGAAAAGCAGAGAGACAGAGAGTCTACTGCTCATCCCTCTGGACCACCATCCTCCAGCATTCACCTAATGCCATGTTCTGACATTGCAGCTGCCTACTTTCTTAGGCCTCTCCTTCAGACTCAAGCAGCTCAAGAGTCTACCATGCGGTTCTCAGGGTGGCAGCTCATGCCTGGTGGCTCACTGAACTGACTGAATAAGTGTATTGTGTATCTGAACCTTGGACTCTCAGGTGTCTGGTTCTTTTCACACTTGAAGTAAATCTTAGAGAATCTGCCTGAGAGCTGTCAAACATGAAGGTCTAATAACTTGAACAAACAAATGTCTGTGGTAATAGTTTTCAACCTTCAAATACTGTGACCCTCTAATTCATTTCCTCATGTTGAGGTGACCCCAGGCATAAAACTTTTTTCATTACTCCTTTACAACTGTAATTTTGCTACTATTATGAACAGTAATATCGATCTGTGTATTCTAGTGGTCTTAGGTGACCCTTGTAAAAGGGTCATTCGGCCTCCCCAAAGGGATCATGACCCACAGGTTGAGAACTACTAGACCATGCATGTGCATGTGTATACTTGAGTATACACTGGGAGGCGCAAAATGAACTACATAGTGCCTGTGTCCTGAGATGAATGGTACATGGCAGTGGCCTGCAAAACTCCAGGTTCTATTCTTAACATTATTACTCCAGTGCTATTCCACTTAGGTCCAGATGAGGGGCCTCAGATTATAAGGTAAAACTGGGGTAAGTGGGGGTTATTTGAAAGAGAAGATAAATGCAGGTCAGAGTGGGAAGGAAGCACAGTCCCAGTGGAGTAAAGTGTGGAACCTTTCTGCTTTCTGCTATACCTCCTTAGGTGCCCCCCAGACTGAAAAGCAAGCTGGATGGCTGGCCCTCACTCCTCTTTGGTTTGATGGCCACTCAGATTTCCAAGTTCCTTCCAAAGAAAATGTCTCCAGTCTACGAGGTAGCTTATGAGCTGATGGGATGGCAAGATGCCTTCTCAGTAGAGGATGTGGGACAAGCAGATGCCTAGAGCTCGCTGGCATGTGTGAGGAGGTTGTACTAACCAGTGCAGGCAGATGTGTCCATCAGGCAGCTGTGACAAGGACAGCAAGCTAGGGAGCACACACATAGACTGACTTAGGACTTAGAACCATGCAATGGCTATTCTACTCAGGAAGAGCCAGTAGTGTTGGGGAAAGGTAATACAAAAGAGGAGGGACCAAGCTGTCAAACTCAGGGGTCCCTGTCCTATCTGTATTTTTCATGTTCCATGGCCTCAGTTACTCATAGCCATTTGCAGTTTAGAAACATTAAATCGAAATTTCTGGAAAGGAGTCACTTATAGACTAAATTGTTTTATTACAACATGGTATTACAGCCATTCTATTTTATCATTAATTACTACTAGTCTTTATGGTGATTTGAATGATAAATGTTCCCACAAGCTTAAACATTTGAACACTTGGTCCCTAGTCGATAGCGCTGTTTGCAGGAGGTGCAGCTTCACTGGGGGAAGTACATCACTGGAGGTGGGGTCAGAGCTTCATGACACTTCCAGTTTGCTATCTGTGCCTCATGCTTGCTGTTAAAGATGGAAGCTCTCAGTGTCCTGCCCCGGCCACCATGCCTGCCTCTTTGTGCTCTGTCTCTCCACCATGATGGGCTCTCATCCTTCTTCTTTCTTGTCTTTGGTTATAATGTTTTATCAACCAACCAAAGAGTAAATAACACAGTCTCTTATTATGCCTGATTTACAAATCTAACTTTCTCATAAGAGTGTGCAGACATGGGAAGGAACAAAGCATACATGATTTGGTGTTTTTCATGCTGTGGGCATCCACTGGGTGCCTTATGGATAAAGGGGGGAACTGATAGTATAAGCAGGTACAATTGGCTACATAACACTAAAGGCTGTGTTATTAAAGGAGGATTATGAATATAGCTAGTTAGTTCAGTACAAGGGTGTCAAAGGGTTTGCAAGGCACACTAGAAAAAGGCAGAGTGGAGCCTGCATATGGGAAACATCCATATACAAGCTAAGGCATAATTCAGGAACAGCAGACACCATGGGAGGAATTCCAAGAGGTTGAGGTACAGATTGAGGAGTAGATGACTATAATAGAAAACAACCAGGCTGGAGAGATGGCTCAGGGGTTAAGAGCACTGACTGCTCTTCCAGAGGTCCTGAGTTCAATTCCCAGCAACCACATGGTGGCTCACAACCATTTGTAATGGGATCTGATACCCTCTTCTGGTATGTCTGAAGACAGCTACAGTGTATTCATACATAAACTAAATAAAGCAATCCTGAAAGAAATAAATAAATAAATAAATAAAGAAAGAAAGAAAGAAAGAAAGAAAGAAAGGAAGGAAGAAGAAAAGAGGAAGGAAGGAAGGAAGGAAGGAAGGAAGGAAGGAAGGAAGGAAGGAAGGAAGAAAACAATTTGACAGAGAGGAGGACAGAGGCCTATGTTTACCAAGGATGTTGAGGCCCCAGGGGCCATGATATGGGACAGCCACAGCAGCTGTATCAAGTAGCAATGAGACAAATGGGGTGGGGGCTGGTCACTGGACTTGGCTTGGAAGGTCAGTGAGGGTAATTTGAGCTCTAAGATGGTGGGAACTGTGGTGGTCTGAATGAGAATGGCCTCCGTGGGCTCATATGTTTGAATACTTGGTTCCCAGTTAGTAGAACTGTTCGGGAAAGATTAGGAGGTACAGTATTCTTGGAGGAAGTGTGTCCCTGGGAGTCAACTTTGAGGTTTCAAAAGCTTCGTTCTATTTCCAGTTAGCTCTCTGCTATAGTGACAGTTTTGTAGTTTGGTTTCTAAAAAAAATACTTTAAAAATATTATAAGAGTATGTTTTTGTTTTATTTCCAAGTGTGAGATATGGGGCTACTTCAGATTGTCCATAGCAGCTGACTGTGATTTGCCTCGTGCTCTAGCAGGGGCCTTGTTTTCCCAGCTTCAGATAGTTTCTGCAATTGTGTGATATTTGGAATTCTGGGGACTTTTCAGAGTCATCCCTGTCATCCCTGCCTGTCTGGTCTCCGCCCTTCTGGAAACACTCCTCCTTTAGACAGATCCACCTCCCACTCTTTGCCTTATTTTTTCCACTTTGCACTTTTTATAAATCCTAGACCCCAGAGGTAGGCTGGGTTGTTGGTTGTTGTTGGTCATGGTTTGTTAAGTAGTCATGCACAAAGAAGAAACAACAAGAAGAAATCAGATATCCTGATGGTGAAGATCAAACTTGCCCCAAAGAATTTGATGCCCCTAATCAGCAGGAAGTAATCTAATGATAATGTCTCCCCATTTCTGGCCCCCAGTCTAGTTCAGCTCTTTCTTTTCTACTCTGTCCTTTCTTCTCTCCTATCTAATGTTAGGTGGTTGAAAGGGTGGAAGAAAAAGGGTGGAGAAGGGTGGAAGAAAGAAGACCCACAATATAGCGACAGACAGGCTACGCTCTGCCTTGCGCTTGCGGCTGAAGATGTGAACTCTCAGCTGTTCCTGCTGTCATCAAACAAGCATGCTCCACCATCAAGGACTCTAATTCTCTGAAAGTATGAGCCCTATGTTAAATACTTTCTCTTATTAAAATGCCTTGGTCATGATGTTTTGTCACAGCACTAGGAAAGTAACAGAGACAGGCACAGAAGTAACACCACAAGGAGAGAGAGGGTGGGTCACAGTAGGCACATGGCAGTAAATGTTGAGAGTGGTTTTTTTTGGAATTGTGCTTCATAAGAAAACACAACACAACCAATGAGCCAGGGAAAGGAATGGGAGGCTCCCCTGGGCTGTAGGGAATATATTCTTTTCTAGGTTGAGGAAAATCTAATCATATTTGTTAGTAAAAGAAAGGAGGTGATGCAAAATGGAAAAAATAAGGCAAAGAGTGGGAGGTGGATCTGTCTAAAGGAAGAGTGTTTCCAGAAGGGCAGAGACCAGTCAGGCAGGGATGACAGGAAGCATCAGAGGCCAGTCCACCAACGGATACTGACTATGTATTTGACAATGCTAAAAACGTGTTGTTACTTACAACATATAATGAGACTATGGCAGATACAGTCTGCTTCTGAATACTCAAGGCAAGGATCAGTGGTGATGGAGAGGAACCAAGGTGGCTAGGATATAAGGCTCGTTGTTTTATCTTTGTGTGAGTTTTTCTATAATTAAGAGAAATAAGGCTACATGGCAAGTTCTATACCAGCTTGGCCTATAGGGTGAGATGCTGCCTCATAAAAACAAAAAAATAAAAAAAGAAAAAGTAAAAAAGGAAGAGAGGTAGGAAGGGAGGGAGGGAAGGAAGGAGGGAGGGAGGAAGGAAGGAGGAAGGAAGGAAGGAAGGAAGGAAGGAAGGAAGGAAGGAAAGAAAGAAACAAGGAAAGAAGGAAAGAAGGAAAGAAGGAAAGAAGGAATGGTGAGAGATAGATGACAGAAGACAGACAGGCCAGGAAAGCCCAGCTAGCATCCTCCGTAAGACTTTCTTAAAGACCAAGGAGACCCTTTTTGCATTTCTCACTGATAATAACTATGAAATTATAACAGAGTTTTAACTGTATAAAGACACAAACAAAACCAAACCCCATACTTATTCCTCATTCTTTTTAGTGTCTATGGGTAATGTAAGCAGAAGTGGGCAGGTGAGGGACACCAGAGGAGGACACTGGGTATGTCCCCTATTGCTCTCAGTCTTAGGCCCTTGAAAAGGGCTCTCTGGCTACACTTCACAGGTCTGTGCTTAGGAAGGAGTCCAGCAAACCCCAAAAATCCTATCTGTGCTTCCTCCTGCCCCAGCACTAGAGTTCCAAGAGTGTACATGCAGCCATTTCTCGATGGGGCTGTTGGATATTCCAACTTAGGTCCTCCTACTTGCACAGAAGATGCTTAAGGACTGAGCCCTCTCCCCAGCTCCATATTTATCCTTTTCCCTTTTGAAATTTGATGGTTTTTATATTTAGTTTTGCATGTTTAAGCTACCACCACATTTTAATGATTAAACTTAAAAGACATGCATCCACTGATTATATTTATTATTTATCAATTGAGTTTGATGACAATTTTCAATCTCAATCCTTATTTTACATTTATATGTAGAATTGTTTAATCTTTCTCATGGAGAAAAAGAAATTCAGGCATCAGCTAGAGCTACAACCTAGTTTTCTTCTACTGACCCTTGGGCAATTTCTACTAAGTGGGCTGAGTGATATTAACAAGGGTGGCTGTACTGTGAGCAGACAGGGTCTCACTGTGCAGCCCTGGCTGGCCTAGAACTCACTATGTAGACCAGCCACTGCCTCCTGAGATCTGGAATTAAAGGTGTGCATCTCCACGCCTGGCTGGCCAGTCTGTACATTGAGAGTTGTTATTCTTGACTCATTGTCCATTCCATTTTGTGACTGAGTTGACATTATCCTTTAGCTCTTCTGGTTCTTTACTGGGTTGTAGATACACAACTTCTTCTTTGTAAGATGCTATGGCTTCTTCATAAAGAATTTGAAAACTCACACTGAATAGCGTCTTATAGTCTCTCCTCATTAAACCCCCTTGTTTCAAGTCTTTTTTTTATTTTATTTTACAATATGCCATTACTTCTCAACACAAACACTATATGAAACCAGTGTTCAGAAAAAGACTCCTAACCATGGTGATCAACAACAATGCTGCCTTGTCCCATCTGACTCTCTATCTCATCAATATTTCTATCTTTGTCTAAAATGAGACAATCATATTCTTCATCATAGCCATCATATAAAAACCTGCCCTCCTGGAGCTAAATCATCCACATTTTTTGTACTTCAGTCCTGTTTTTTTCAGCCACTGGTATATCAGTGACCAAGATGTTCAGATGTTTCATGGTCCTCTTTCACAAGCAGTCAGCTCCTCGGGTCATGTGTCTTTTAAATTTTATTTTTAAATATCTACTACATAGAATAGACCTGGTACACAAAAATCAGCCAACATAGATGTGCATTATGCTATCTCTTATCCCTCTTTTCTTCAGCCCTTAGTTTGTCCTATCTGGCCTTGCATTCAAAGAATACAGCCTGTCTTGGACTAATCATGCTTATTGGATGAATGCTAGACTCATCTCTTCTGATGTTTATAAGCCCACATTCCATGCTTATATTTCTTTTCAGTATCGAATGACTCATCTCTTCCAATAAATTTATGATTCCTCATTCCATGTTTATATTCTATTAAGTAACAAATAGTGAGCATGTAGCATGCCCTACACCAATACAGAATGGCTGATCAGGCTAAAGGAAGATAAAGCGAAGATGTTAAAATAGCCTGGATAAAACCAAACAATGACTGACTAGGCAGGACAAAGAGTGCCTGCCATCAGTTTTTCATAGTCCTTCCTTACAGGATGCTCTGAAAAGGAGATTCTAATGTCCCCATCAGTGAAATTGTAAAGATCTGTACAAAACGGATGGGTAAGAGTGCTATCCTGAAAATCAGCAACTTTCTAACCCAAAGGAGGAGGCGGAGGAAGAGGAGAAGAACCTATGGAAAAGCAGAGGAGGAGGAGCAGGAAGAGGGGGAGGAAAAAGGAGAAGGAAAAAGGAAATGAAGGAAGCAGAGGAAGAAGGTAATTAGAAGAAGGAGGTAAGGAGGAAGAAGAGGAAGAGGGGGAGGAGGAGAGAGGGAAAGGAAGACAAGAAAAAAAGGAGGATGAAGAGAGGGAGGAGGTAAAATTAATGGAGGTAAAAGCAGCAGTAGATTTTTTAAATCACCAAATCACATTTAATATGAAAAACTGATGTCTAGAACTTCATCACATGGCCTTCATGGGCACCTGTCAAACTCCCATAGTCCTCTAGTCTCTCTGTAAAAGTAAAACTTTTCAAGAGAATGCAGTGCCTATCTGTAGAAGAGACAATATTGCCGGAATTAGCACATGTCTTAATTTAGGGATCTAGGGTGGGGATGCTACAGGGGAGGAGCTCCTGCAGACCCAGCCTCTTGGAAGAGCAAATCAACTGGGAGATGGGTGTGGATGCTTTGTGCCTACCTCCTCCTGCATCCCACACTCCAGCAGCATCGTCACACACGCCTCAATAGGGAAGGCGATCTCACGGCCACTGATCATCAAGTGCTCCTCCAGGGGCTTCCCAAAGGAAGGCTTCTCCACCCAGGCCTCTGGGGAGGGGTGGGCAAGAAAGGAGCCAGTTAGTAGCTTCCCAAGGCCATCTATGACAGACTCTTTCTCCCCTTATCCAGATTCTGCACAGAGTACCAAAGAAACAGAGGGTCCAGATGCGCATCCACTCTTGGGGCTTAGTAAAAAATGGAAAGGCATGGCGAGAACTGAACCTGGCACCACTGGGGTTAATGGGAGAGCCATATCACACATACCCTTTTGAAGAATAGAGGGATGAGCTCAGCTTTGGGTCACAGATGAACATCAGCTCAGGGAGCTTCTACCAGCTCTTCTAAACATGAGCATTCCCAGGAGAGCACAGGTGGGGAGCTGTTCTCATCCAGGAGGGTGATCAGGCACCCCACCCTCCCAGCTCTAAGGGAGGCTTGCACTTACCCTGCTGTGCTTTGATCTGAGGCAACACAGCCTGCAGCAATGTCAGCGACTTCCTGTGGTATTCAGCTTGCACTTCTATTAGCTGAGAAAACACAAGAACAAACATTACCCTTTGCCAAAGGGAAGTAGACTTCTACAGTGGCCTCCTTCACAAAGGCTCTCACTCATGGAGGAAGCAGACAGGATAGCTCTCAGCCTCCTCCAGTGCTTCAGCCAGTATGGAAAAGGGGGTCACTCTGAATGGAAATGTAGAAGGCAGGAGAACCAGGAAGGAATAGGGGAATCTGCCTGAGCTGGAGCCTGCCTTAGAGAACTTGCTTTGGGTCACCTGACCTCACCTGGTTCCCCCATCTTCAAAGCTGAAGGTAGCAATGAAGGTGCAACAATTGGTGATTATAAACAGAAAATGCATGCTAAGGTCTGTTTGTTCGTAAGATATACACGAGTTAGAGCAGCCTGTGTGCATACTGATTTCTGTGTCACTTGAACATGTAAGTGCTCAGAAAGCGTGTGGTTCTACTTCATACACACAATGGCTTTGACTGTAGTCACGTGGTCCTGGGAACAAACTCCTTCAAGGTGTTCTCTTGTCACCCAATCCATTAAAGAAACAACCGCAGTGTTGCTTAGGGCCAAGGAAGACTCACGAGCAAGAGTGATTTCATTTATTTTCTGGCTGTCCATCTCCCCCAAACTAAACAAAAACCTGGACGGACCATAAACAATGACAGCATCAATGTGGGACCAAAGGAACCTGAGGCCTGAGAAAACAGCTCGTGGAAGCCAGGGAAGCAACCTGACAGCCTGGGCACTGGTGAGTTTGTTGGCTGCAGTGACTCTAGAACTTCGTAAGTCAAATCCATGGAATGCATTTGAAAATATACTACTGTAGAGGCTTGAATGGGAAGTGGCCCCACAGTCTCCCACATTTGACCACTTGGTCCCCCAGATAGTGGTGCTGTTTGAGGGTGGGGTTCAGATGGTGGGCCTTCCTGGAGGAAGTATGTCACTAGGGGCAGGCTTGGAGAGGAAAAAGCCTTTCTACTTCCAGTTTTCCATCTCTGCTTCCTGACTGTATTTGAGGATGTGAGCTCTCAGCTTCCTTCCTGGATTTCCATGCCTGGCTGCGGCCAAGCTTCCCTTCCACGGTGAACCCTTATCCCTCTGGTACCATAAGTCCTGGATAAACCTGTCCTCGGAAGAGCTGCTTTGGGGGCATGGTGTTTGACAACAGCAACAGAAAATTAATCAATACAACTACCTTGAAGCAGACATCTCATATTGGAAGTGATCCTTAGCAACTCTTTTATAGGTGTGTGTGTAGGTATGTGTGTGTGTGTATGTGTGTGTGTAGAACTTCGAAAGTCTTAACCCCTATTAACACAGGAAAGTGCCACAGCCCGCAGCTGTTCACCCGGCGCACACCGCTGAGCACTTAGTATTTCTCAGATCCATCTGCCTGCTACTCTCTCTGAGTCACTTCTTTTCTAACCCCGCCATTTCTTTGGTCATGAAATATAAAGCTGGTGGGTTCTAGGGAACAGGTACACTCTACTGTTCTCCATGTATGATTTCTCTGTCGATGTGTTTCTGTCATTTCTTGATTGAGCCTTATGTTCACTCTGGCAAGGAGTCAGGGTCCAAATTATCAGGACTGGTTGACTGAAGTTCATGTGACTCAGATCCTGTCTCTGGTCTCCAAATCTGCTTTCACTGAGGAGAGGCAGTCACCAGGCCAAATCAATCATTGCCTTTTGAAGTTGGCAAAGATCTTCAATAGAAACAAATATGCCTTTGTGGGGAGCTGAATATCTTCCTATTCTTCTCAAATCCTTTGCTGTCTCAAATCTAGGTTTCTCAGCATGGGTCCTCAGACTTCCTGGGTTGGGCAACTCAGCTGTACAGAGCTGTCTGTACATCTGAAGAGGCTTAGCGCTTTCCTTTGTCTACCACTGACACAGTGCGACAGCTTTCCAGAGCTGGGATGACCAGAGGCATCTGTTAATTCCTGAAGTCCTCTAGGGAAGGGGGAAACATCACTCTTGGTTGAGAATCCCTGCTGCTGGTTAACTAAGCTGTGATAATCCTCAGGGATGGGGTTCTGTTTTAAGGTTAGGTTTTGGAACAAATCTATACATGGAGGACATAATTCACCTACAGAACGAACCAGCAAAGCACTGTCCACCCAGCTCTCTCATCTCCTCCACTGATGCTCTCATGCAATCAGAAGGCCCCTTTTTATGCCCACCTCCCTTTCCTGTCCACATCATAACACTCTATAAAGACTCTGCAGTCTTACCTTGGTGGACCCTTACCGTCTGAAAGTAGTTTGCATAGTCAATTTCTTTGGCCACAAAACTGTACATGTCAGCGGAAAGCTGGTCCTGTGCAAGGTAAAATATATAAGCGAGGTTATAAAAAGAATATCGGGGGAGGGTGGCTAACACCTGTCCCAGACAGCATGGGAGGAAAGGACTTAAACTCTGCTGCACCTGATTTTCAACAGTATGTGACACGTCGAATATTCTTCTCATGGGAATTCCTGTCTCCCAGCCATGGTTCTAGAAATGAATGTCTTTGAAAGTCTACCATACTAGTAGTTTTCCCAGAGCTTTAACTTATGGGCTAGCAAATCCAAGCTGGTGTGTGGGACAGTGATGTACAAATGAGCTCTCAACACCACTGCAGCTTGCCCTGCCACCTGAAGCAACTCCAAGCATACACAGTGGCTTGCCTCCCTCTGCCACTTGGGTACTTCACTTTCCTGCTAGCCTTCACCCTCAAACTGACTGGATGACCATGAGTACATGGGAAAGCAACAGAAATGCAGTGATTTGCAGAAAACCCGGATAGACAAGGTCTACAGTAGGGAAGGATTGCTGATTGAAAACTTGGCAAATTCTGATCTCTTCCTATGTTGCACACAACTGTAACAAAGTTAAAAGTCCTTCACCACTAGGCTTTCCATCCACTTGGGTGGCAATGGCCT